TGGGGAACTAGTAATTCTAGTAATATTCAACTATTGAATATTACTAGAATTGATAGGCAATGTAGCAGATCCTATTTGATTGTCTTAAGGAACTGCTACAATTTTACACCAGTCTTTGACCAATAATTGTAACAATATTTCTAAAGCTAATTAAAACGAAAAGCCAAGACTACATATTACACTAAATTCCGTATATGCCTCTTATGAATTAATATGATTCCCAACTTAACAGCGGTGAATTTCCTTTTGTTGTGGCTGATGACTGCAGTACACCAAGCTGACATTTTAAATGTGCTTTTCCTTGCTCGTTATATATACTCCCATAATGGAAATTAGTGTTTAAAATCAAATCTGAGTATTCTCTTCTCTTCTTCAATATGGCATCTGCTGTATAACATCTAAGATTATTCAGGGGAGGTCCCGATTTACAGAGATATTTGGGAAGATGTGGAAGGTTATTAAGGAAAAGAGGACTGTAAAACCGTATGATTTTAAACTAAGTTATTAGAAGCTTCATAATCTCTTGTCCTTGTTAATCCATCAAAATAATAAATGACACGCAAAAATGGGAAATTATATGTTATTAGAGAGAATTTATTAGATTTTGCCAGCTTTTCTAATTCAGCGTCTGATCTTCTTTATCTCTGAGAACTTTTTTGTTATAAGCTATTTCTGATACAGGTAGTTCTCGACTTATAACCATTTGTTTAGGGACTGAAGTTATAACTGCTTTGAAAAAAGCAATTTACAACATGTTTTACACTTACAACTTTGCAGTATCCCCATGACCGTATGATCAAAATTCAGGCCCTTGGAAACCCTTGGCAAAAATGTTTATCACAGTTGTGATGTTCCAGAGTTATGTCATCACCATGGATAACCTTCCCAGCTGGCTTCTCACAAGCAATGGCTATGGAGGAAAGCCAGATTTGCTTAACAAAGGTATTATTCATTTAACAGCTGCAGTGATTCACTTAACAACTCTCTGGCAAAAAGGTTGTAAAATGAGGCAAAAAAATTCAATTAACAACGGCCTTGCTTAGCAAGGCAAATTTTGGGCTCAGTTGAGGTTGTAAGTTGAGCACTACCTGTTTCACATGCTACAAGGTACAGATTTCAGGTTCCATTGCCGTATTTTGTGATCTGTTACTGTAATGTTTTATGATTTACTGTTGGAGGTTTTTGGTGCATACAATTAACATTGTATTGGGTCTCTCAGTTATGAATGATTTCCTCTTAATGTTATCAATGACTTTCTACCCAAAGTATTAGTAGAAAAATGTGAGTCTTGCTTTTGGTTTTTAAATTCAATGTTATATAGTAGCACATAAAAAGGAGAAGGATTAAGCATTTCCTTATCAAAATTCACCAAAATGGTCAGCATATTTGTGATACATTTTGAATTCCTAGATAATAAAGGAGCTCAGATTCATAGCAAAGACATTCTGTTCAAAATATTTCTTGCATTGCTTGTTTTCCATCTGCTAATATACAGGTCCTCATTGCTACTTAAATCAGAGCATTCTTTCCCAATATCATATCTGCACATGGAGATTCTAAATGATGCCATAATAAACATACTAATTTAAATGTCATATTTTTAAAAAATTCCATGTAAACATTCATAGTTCCCTTTATTTTGAATACATTGTCTGAAAATTGATTTGTTAAGACTGCATTAATATTCTCTGAATTTTAGTTTTGTTTTACTTTGTTTAACAATAAATTGTTTAATATTGTATGGTGCCCAAAATCACAATGGCATCAGGTGGCCTATAAATTTGATAATGTATGTTTAGCTGTAGTAGAGTTGCATCAAATAATAACAGCTATAAACCTAATACTTTTAATATCTTGCTTACTTTAATAAATAATATTCTACTATAGAAGATAAAAGTTTTTTTTAAAAAAAAAAAACAATCAACAACCAGGGTCTAGTAATTAAAATATTTTTTAAATTTTCATTTAGAAATACATGAATATTTGGGGTTTGTTTTCATTTCCTTTCTGATAATGACATTTATAAGAGTATTATTTTCCAAAATTTATAAGAGTCTTATTTCCATAATTTAGCAGTTGAAACATTGTGGTCATTCTCTTGATGTTTTCTTGCAACATTTGCTTGTTCCAAAAGAGGACTATTTGCCTCTCTCTCTCAAAGGAGCCCAGGTCATTGAATGAAAAGTGTTATTAAAATTACTTTTATGCCTCACATTGCAACTTGCTACCACAATGATTATTCCTTCCCCTGTTTAATCCTATCCCTATTTCTTTCTAAGCACAGGACACCTCACCCACACACTTTTAATGGAGAGTTTTAAAATGTGGAGACATGTAATTGAAGCTACAACCCTGAAACATTCCCAGAGTATCTTTCCCAGAATATGGCTAAATGGGATAGAGATGGTGGCATAATACACTGCAAATGGTACACTGTCAGACGTATTCCTTGGCATCGTTAACCATGTTCTGTCGTTAACCATGAGTTCTGTCATCCTGCCATTCTAAGCAGTAGCCTTCAGATGAATAATGTTCTTGGGGTGGAGGGTAACGAGACGGGAAGAACCGAGGTCCGTTGATTAATCATTCCGTGAATTGAGGGATACGACAAATCGTGGCTTGAGGTTTCTTTAAAGAGGCAGCGCGCAGAACCTTGCGGATTGGGTTCTCGATATGATAAGAGCAACTACAGGTTGGACAAACGCTTGGAAATGTCGTTCGACCACAGACGCACGGTTCTCTAACCTATTAGGTTCTGTCTGTATAAGCCGCATGGTTTTCGAAGAGAGTCAGTAGAAACAGCGCTAACCTAGTCCGAAGTAGTGCTAACTTCTTCCTGCTTATTATTCGCAGTGTAAGGTTGCAATAGCTGGAGTGGAAGTTTTGCCACTTTCCGCTTGGTTTTTTCCCCCCTTTCTTTTCTTCATTTAACCTGCAAGCTGCAGATTGTCAGAATTCCCCTTCTTGCGGAAAAGGGTTTTCCCTCGCCCTAGGACCACCCGCTTTGCACAACGGAGAGGTGTGAGCTGGCATCAAAAGGATAAAAGGGAGGGCTGGCCGCGTTTGGCTGTGGGCTGGGGAAAAAAAGTGAGTCCTGGGAACCCCACTTCTTCCTGGACCGGCTTTTTAAAAACAACAGCAACAACAGGTGCCTCAAGATCTTGCACCCCTACCTTCGCACCGTATACGCGCGCAAGCCCCATGAATTTCGTAGGCTTGGGGGCGAAGGGATCCTTCAAGTCCTGATGTATATCACTCACACAGGCTCTCTTTGAAGGATTGTCCTGTACCTAAATGCAATTACTTGGACCACGCACCTAGCATCACATTTCGTGGGCCTTCCGCCAAGATGGATCTGTATTTCTCATTTCTAGGGCAGTTTTTAATAATTTAAAACATTAAAAATAAAGTGATGCAAAGCTTTATTTGATATTGTATTTCTATGGTTTAATTAGCTATTCCAGGCTGGATCTCCTAAATTAACTAAGCACATAACTGGAGGCACCTTCAGATTCTGAAGCCGGGGCAGGAAAAACAACCTGGCCAGGCATCCTTTTCTATCTATACCCGTTGTTAGGGTTTTTGCCAAACGGTATAAATGAAATCACTCCCAGTTTGTTATGAAAGAAACTTCATTTTCTTTACAAGTGAATTTTTCTCAGCTTCTGAAACTTCAGTTGAGAAAATTCCCTCTATCGATCCCAGTCAAGGTCTGGGATTTTTATAACTTAACTTTTTTTTTTTTTGGCATAAAACCTTTCTTAATACACACTGAAGTATATTCAAGGGATTTTTTGTGGGGGAGGTATGTGTAGAATACCAGGCTAATATCCATTTCCCTGTGTTATATGGCTTTTTTTCTTTTGCAAAGAAAAACAACACTTTTCTTCCATTAAAACATTACAAATCAATTATTTCAGACTTGCTTGAGTCAAAATCCACTGATTAAAAAAAAAAAGATCTAGTTTTGCTCAAAGTGGAAAAATGGTTTATGGCTCTTACACTCTTTAAATAAAGAAGTATAAAAAAGATATTCTTAGGATAAATAGATTGCGATTATTTATGTTAATATTTAGATTTGGGAAGTTCCACATATTTTGCCCAATCTTTCTGGGGTGCTTGATCAAGGCTGACGTTATTCCTCAAGGTGTTGCAGTCCGGAGACATCCAGCTGATAACTTCTAACATTTCTAACTACTACAGATATTGGCTGGTTGTGCTGGAAGAAATTGTTTTGAGACAAATTTAGGGCACCAGGTTAAAGCATTGTGGAAATGAAATAAATGAAATAAATAGGCCACCTCTAACCCACCTTAACATGTACCCCATTAGGCATATCAAGCAAGAGGGCTTAAATATTAGTTTTGCAGGCAGAATGACCTTGAAATGCTAATGCAAGAGAATATAATGACCAAATTAAGGGGCCCTCCCTCTTTCAAAATCAGTTGTTGAATTTTTAAAATCAGATTGTTGAAATTGTTAGCAGAGGGTTCTCCTGTAACTGTGTGTTAGTCTTGATGCCTGTCCGGAATCTGGGAAAACTGAAACATCAACCGACATTCTTTTCTCCCTGGGTCATTTCCCTAATGAATCCTTTTGTACCTGGAATTCTTTGTAACCTCTGGGAAATTTCTCAGGTTTTCCTTGCCCTCTAAGCACAGTCCTTATAAGGACCTTCAGCCCCCACCCCCGTCCTTTCTATCTGCTTAGTGCCATTTGAATTCGCCTCAGTGGCTTCCACTTTGATTCCGGGACTTTGAAATGCAACCCTGCCTTTCAATGCAAATGCTCCGAGAGGTTGGCCCAATAATAAAAAAAAAGGCTTTTCCTCAGGGAGGTGCCTTTGCAAAGTTGGGAAGGGAAGGAAAAAAAAAAACCTGAGCAAGTAGTTCAGGTGAACTGTTAATCAGGAAGAGGCTGGGAGTTCTCTGCAAAGGCAAGCCACGGAAGACGCTGCTGAGGCGCCGGGCACATTATGCACGCTGAGCTACTTGGGGATGATGTATGTGGGTTATCTGTTGGATAAGGACACCAACATGTACCCCAACCCGGTCAGGCACCCGGGCCTGAACCTCAGCCCCCCAAATTATGTGCCCGTGCCCCCTCAGTACTCGGATTTTGCCAGCTACCACCACATGCCCGGAATTAACAGCGATCCTCACCAGGGGCAGCCCGCGGGGACCTGGGGCCCTCCGTACCCGCCTACTAAAGAGGACTGGCACACCTACGGCGCAGGACCCCCTTCTGTCGCCAGCCCGGCGCAGCTAGGATACAGCCCCTCGGATTTCAATCCAATTCCGCCACCCGGCTCTGGACTGCTGCCTCCGCCCATGAGCGCCCCAGTCCCCCAGCTCTCCCCAAACGCGCAAAGGCGCACGCCTTATGAGTGGATGAGGCGCCACGTTCCCACTAGCAGCAACAGTGGTAAGGATTTGTCTCTCTTTCTCTCCTCCGTCTCTGGCTCCGGGAAAGGGGTCTTTTTCAGGCCGGTAGGACGAGCAGTCTCTACGGTCCGACGACTATTTCCTTCGCGTTTCTGCAGGGTTGAGCTGGCCACTTTATAACGTTTACTCTTCATTATCTTTCCCCATCAACTTGTAGACACAAGAATTTGTGGTCAAACTACATTTTAACACGAAAAGGGAGGGATACTTGCAAGAATTGGCTACAGATCCAGGAGGTTCGGAGGTGGCTTCCTTACACAGAAGGAAATTCCACTTGTGCAATGTTTGCTAGTTATAAACAATTTGTCACATGTTACTCCTGGAGTTATACATGACTTGGAAAGGGTCTTCTGTTTCTCAAGCAAAGAGTTCCTGGTTCAGTCCATGGCTAAATTGATAGGAACCACAGGAAAGCTGGTTGCTGGCCAGAATGCTGGCTCATCCTTAGGAATAGATAGTCCTATTCTAGTCAGCTTGACTGAGCAACAATGGACCAGATATCTTCCCATATTATGATTGGCTAGGCCTCCCCAGTTGATGATCACATCAAGATAGAATTTGGAACAAATTAACGTTATAGTCAGTATATAATGTAAGTTTTCACAATTGTTCAGAACTACATTCAAAGGGGAATTTCAAGGAAATAGGATGAGAGTAATATACAAAAATAAATCTAATAGGTACATGGGCTTCTGTTTGTTTGTGTATGTATGTATCTGTATATTTGCCTAATCTACATTGAAAGGAATGACTAGAACTTTCCAAGAACTACCTTTTACTTAAGTCTTTCCCAGTATCATTGTCAAACACGTCACCCAGATTCTGACACTGAGTCACAAGTTAATTTTTCTCTCAAGTAAAGCTGTAGTAAACTGCATTTTTTCTCAGTCTAGTTTACTGAAACCTCCTCTACTGAGAATGATAATTGACACAGGGAAAATATCAAATATTGATTGTGAAGGCTCTGGTAAAGAAAGTTTTGGGAATTGTCTGCATGTAGGTGTGATTTAGCAAATCAGCCAGGAAGAGATTACAATAAAAATAAGTTATCTTTTTGTTAAGGCATGGGAACATCTGACAACATAACTGTATGCTTCATTTTTGTGTTTATCAAAGTACAGCTATCTCTCATTGGTTTCCACGTTTGATGGCACTGCACACTTGATGTTTTTATTCTGTATGGCTACTGTTATCAAATTCTACTGTTTTCAATGAATTTCATTCTTGCAGTTTTGTTTGTTGCACCCCTTTCAGTATGATGGAGATACTACCATATCTTGGATAAGGTGTATATTGATATATGTGTCAATACTAGCTTTATTCTTTAACATTAGTGTTCAGCAATATTATTCTATTGGTAGATTATTCCTCTTTCTGTACAGTCTCTGAAACGTTTAGCAAACTCAAGGACGCCCTTTGGGCAAATGTTAGTTTTCTCAAAAATCCCCCCCCCCATCATTCAGTATGAAGTGGATTCCTGTACAACAATCACAAGTAAAAAGGTACACAATATGAAAATAAGTAATCTACCAATTCTTCCATTTATTAAAAATCCAGGTAGAACTCAGTATTTGAAAATGCAGTAACTTCTGTTCTCTGATTAACATTTCTGTGGAAAAGTTCTTTTGTGTTTGCTCATGCCTAAGCATCTGCACAACACTTACTGCCTATTAGTTACATTCTTACTTTCTCTAGCCTTCTCAGATGGTTATATTCCCACATTTCACTTTATAACTGGTGGTTGTTCTCTAAACTAAAAAAAACTATTGTGAATATAAAATAATGACATCTTTGTTTCAGTTAAAATGTGTATGAGATAGTGATGTTCCTGTACTACCGTATAAGAAAGTGTTGACCATTTTTTGGTGAATATATAAGTTGCTTATCAGTACGATTCCCACACCCCTTAAGAAGTGAAAGTTAATGGCACAGTAAATAGGTTCATCTAATGAATGTATGGCACCTTATGTTTTTATGGGACAGAGGTAACAGCAAGTGTGTGTGTGTGTGTGTGTGTGATTTAATGACCCTTATTTGTGAGAACAGGCTTCATTGATCTCAGCTCAGTTATTTTTTTTAATAAAGAGGTGAAAATTTTCCTTTCTCATATGAACTTATTTCCTACCTTGGTTTTTAAAAAATCACCCCATGTATATAAAATAGGATTCTTTGCTAAGATATCTATATGCATGCTAATAGATACCTCACATAGCTTTTGGCTTGCTTTTTATTTTTATTTTTTTGTAAATTTGGGTTATAAAGCTGGGATTTATAACTGCAAGGAGAAAACTTTTGTGTGTGTCGTTTTATTTATCATTGTCTTTAAGACAAGCCTGCATTCAAAACAGTTTGCTTCTCTCAATGCCACTGCAGTAAATGTTAGAGTTTGCTGATCAATGTAAACTAAAATTAGTTCTCAATGTCGTAGAACCGACTTGCTGTTTATTGCATATTTTTGTTTTTTTCAAACGGGATTCGAGATTTTAAAATGGCCAAATCGACTGGTTGTAAATGAGCGCCCCTGCATTTAGGCGACACGTTCCTCGGGTCTCTGAGCAGAAAAAGGCGCGAAGCTACTTTGCCGCCAAGCCCGGTGAGCCTCATTGCTCCCCCCCCTCTCCTTTCGTCTCCTTCTCTTCACCAACTTATTTCTCAGGATCATTGGATCTTTCCAGCGCCGAAAACCAGCCTCTAATTTTGCGGCCGCGCTGAACTCTTGAACTCGCGGCGAGAAAGGAGTTTTAAGGGGAACCCCAGGGTGACGCGGTGGGAAAGTGGAAGTCTCTCTCCAGGCGAACGCAAATGAACATTCTGGGGTGACAAAAGACCCCGCAACCGGTGCCCAGTTCAAAGGCGGCAGGCCGGCGACCTGCTTCTTGAAAAGGCCCTGCGAACGCCTCAGTCAAACTCGGGGCAAATTTGCAAGCGTGCTGCTTTGTTATGCTGATAGGCAGAGAGGGTGCGTTGCGGCGGGGCGCCCAGCGAGCCTCCTTGTTCTCAGCTTTGAGATGGGCGGCTAAGCGGCCTTTGAAGTGGGGGCACTTTCATTTACCTGCAGAGCTCCAGGCTGGGCTGCCCATACGAGGCCACCATCGTCCTCGCGCTTTCGGGCTTCCTGGCCTGGGCAGAATAGAGAATAGATAACCTTTATTTTTACTGTGGGCACACTGGCACACATTAAAATGAAATTTTGCTCACACACACACACACACACACAAACAGAGCAGGTGTGTGTATTGTGTGTGTATTGTGTGTGTAT